TTTTCATCTCTCATTATGTCCTATTTCTCCTTTTTGTTTCCTATCACTTCTCATTACTCTTTTTTACTCCCTTTCATCTTCTATTACTTTCCACTACTCCTGTCTCTTATACACATCTAGAATTTCGGTAAAGTTTTTTTTATTTTTTTGATGGAGAATTTTGTTTAGAAATCTTAATAGAAAATTTTATTGAAAATAGTTTTTTTTAATAAGTGTATCGAGAATTTTGGCTTGAAAATTTTTTTTAATAAAGAATTTCATTAGAGATCTTTTTTTTTATAAAAAATTTATTGAAAATTTATTGGAAAATTTTTTATTAAATTTACAATTTTAATAAATTTTTACTTCTCTTCATCTTCCCATCACTTCTTTTCATCTCCAATAAAAAAAAAAAAATTTTTTTTTAAAAAAAAATTAAATGGCGGGTACCTGATATGTGAAACGGCGGGTACCTGATATGTGAAGCGGCAGGTACCTGATATGTGAAGCAGCGGGTACCTGATATGTAGAATGGCGGGTACCTGATATTTGAAATGGTGGGTATTCGATCCCTTAATAATTTAAAATTTGGTCCAAAATAAATTAATAAACCGTTATAATATAAAGCGCATACGCGTTAAATTATGTAGCGTATACGCATTGCTTTTTATGGCGGGTTACCCCTGAAATTGACAGGTTAACCCAACAGAACAGGGGTAACCTGCCGTGAAATATAACGTGTATACGCTATGTTTTGTAGCATGTACACGCTATGTTTTGCTACGCACTTTTGACCACTACCGCTTGCCATATTTATCCGCACGCGATACGTTCTACATTGATAAAAATAAATATTTATAAAATAAATTGTGATACACTGATAAACAAGATATGATAATAAAAAATATTTTTTCGCTCCAGACTCACAACGGTTTCCGTTTTCTAGCTTATAAAATTATTAGTATGATTTTTCGCATATCTATAAATTACCTTTAATATAACATTAGAAACTACAGTAAGACCTCTATATAGTCACACCATATAGTCATATCTTACGATCTATATAATCACATAGGTAATTATAAAGAAGTCCCACTGTAACTAATTTATTTTATTTGTGTTAAGAATCAATTAAAGTTTTAAAGAATAAAAAAAAAGTAGAGTTTACTGAACTTAATATCATTGACAATAATTATGCACTTTAATCGGAATAATAAATAGCTATGCACTATTTTACTTTATTTTTATAATGAACTTTTTTATAATTGATTATAAATTGGTTCTACCTCTAGAAAGAATAATACTTTATAATAAAACATAATATATCATTTATAATTATTCTAATTATGGTAATCTCTTCTTTATTTCTTGCATTTCTGTTAACATATTTTGTGAGGAATTCTTCATTTCTCGTATTTCTTCTAATATATCCTGTAAAGAAATTTCATATTCAAGTGGAATATTGAGTTTTTCCATTAATTTTTTTTTCGATTCTGGAATTTTATTGATATTCCATTCACCCTTATCAATCATTTTTTTAACTTTTTTACGAGTCTCATCAATATTAGCACAATAATATCTTAAATTAAATTTGTGTTAAATAGGTTAAATTATTTTAAAAAAATAAACAAATAGTATATTTTACATACACCACTTCAGGAAACCAGTCATTCCAACGTCTTTGATGTGGTAATAGGTAAAATAACTCAATTTTAGCCAAATACTATAATAAATAAAATTTTAGCAATTTAAGAAAAATTTCATATTAAATAGTTATTAAATTAAATACTACCTCTGCTCTTGTTATCAAAAATGAGTCTTCGTGATCTACGGTTGCCTCACTAAATAGAGTGATAAATACATTCAGAATATAAATAGCCATAAAGAATGCGAACAAAACCACCAATATCATAAGTGTAGGATTTTCTTCATATGACCAATTAGAAAAGGAACTTGTATCGCCTACATATTTAAACAAGTTTAATAAAGTTAATTAAATTTTAATAATAGATACTTAATTAAAAATTCATACCAGTGAGTAATAAACATGTTGCAAAAAATGAAGTAGCGAAGGTTGTAAACATGTTTGTGTTCTCATCAGGTTTTTGTAAAATAAATAAATTGGGATTAATGCTAGTATTATTTTCAAATACTTGATAATTAGGGGTCAAATTCCAAGGATTGTTAGGGTCATCATTAACTATACGTTCATCTAAGGGATAATTCATTTTTGGTGATAATAAAGTATAAAATGCATATGAAAAACTTATTAAAATAACCATTATAAAGTTTGTGAAGAAAAACATGACCCGTTTTGCAATTCTAATGACGATTGCATAATATGTTTCATAATATTTGAATACCCTAAAAAATGACATTAATTTTAAATTTAAAAGCAGACACGAAAAAGTAATATATGGAAGTATCTTCTCATGATCATTTCCTTGAAGCCACAAAATTGAAGTGCAAATAGAAAATACGTATACAAATAAATCTATATAATGATAAATATTTAGTTAGTACTTTCTCGAGTTTCTTATTAAAATTCTCTAAAATGATTATAATTTTATACCATATATTTTCCCAATATCAAGAATCCATTTAATAGGATTATAAATAAACTGACGAACTTCAAAACTTAGATAAATAAATTCAAATAAAGTTGAAATAATAAAAAGTATTTTTTGAATATCTACATATTCTTGTTGAGAAATTCCGGCAGCTACATTAAAACATATAAGTAAAATTAAATATCCACTCCAAATAAATATATGATAAACTATTCCATATTTCTTCCATTTAAAATTAAGTAATGCTTCTCCACTCCATGTTTTATAAATATCACTATCTATTGTTTCAATAAATGGACTGGGCTGAGGCCAAAATAATTCTAAAAACCTATTGTAATCTTTTGGATAGTTTACAAAGTTAATATATGGACTTGCGAAAATAAATGATGGTGTTTTTTTAGTTATAACAGTATTAAAATCAAAATTGATAAATCTTATTATTCTATAAAAAGTACCTAAAATTAATAAAAGAATAATTAATGCTAAATACATTAAAATAAATATTAAAGATATAATGAGAGTTAGTATTTGGGTCCTAATATTATTACGACGAAATGATTTCAAATATATAAACTGTTCAAAGAATGCTTTAAATTGATAATCTTTTTGAGGAAATTGAAAAGAGGAAAGATGTAAACTGTTTACTATATTATAAGAGGGTGAATCTACGATAATTTCTGTTTCCAATGAGTATCTTAATATATATTCTGGGTAATGTTTATCCAGTAATGGCAAGTTAGAATTAATGATACTTAAAAACATTATGTTATTAAAATCCTTTTCAAAATAATTTATACATTTTTTATAAATTTCTTCTATTAATTCTAACTTATGTTCTTTAATTGCAAATTTTAATAATCCTACACCATATTTTAAGAGACTTGATTTATTATTTTTTACATCTAAAACCCATTCAACATTATATTTAAAACTCTCATGATTTGGTAAAGGTAAAGTAGGTTTTGAAAATATTTGTAAAAGTTTTGTATTATCTTTACTGATTGAATTGAGAATTATATAATAATAATAATAGCTTAAAGAAATGGATTTATCATTCTCATTAAAATGGAAAATTAAAGGACCGATACTTGTTAATATGATGATGTCATCGTCGTTAATTAATTTAAATCCAAGTAATGATGAAACCACTGTTAACTCTACAAACTTTACATCTCTCGTGCAAATTGAAACATTATTTTTAAAAACTTGCAGTTTAATTTTGTAATCATTACAAGTAATTCTCCATTCAATCGAATTTTGACTCGCTTTTAGTTCATATTTACTATTATAATTTGTTATAGCTTCTTGAAATAATTCACGTACAGTATCCATATATGAATTAAGAAAAAGAATATGTAAGTGATCATACATCTTACTCATTTCCTCATTGATCTTAACGTCATTATCATATTCTTCATTGGTCATCGTTTTTTTCAAATCAATTTTCCAAATATTTCCATCTATAAATACGAATATGTGTTCACTTGTAGCTCGAATGACACTTGGAAAAAATTCTTTTGGTAATAAGTCATTCTGTTTTTTTAATTGGCATAAATACTTTTTCCAATAATCCTTCATAATCATGGAATCCGAAAATAATAGAGAACATAAAGTAGGATATTTGTCAAGCATACTTGGTTGAATATCTAAAAAAAAGAATGTTGTTAGTAAAGTTTAATAATATAATAATGCGATGTATAACCTTTAAAAAAACAAAATACCATTATTTAAATTCAAGGAAGCAACTGGAATTTTCAATTCAACTGAATAAATAATGATTTTATCCTTGATTCTCGTACAAATAAACTTCTCATTGTCGATAATTCGGATATTTTCTCTGATATTTTCTCCAATATTTTCGTCAATCACCAATATTTTTGTACTCATAAAAGTATTAAGATCCCATTTATAAATAGATTTATTTGAAAATAAATAACATTCATTATTGCATGATATGCTAATCAACCTAAAATCTTCAAAATATGTAGATATTTGAAACGTTCCTACGCAATACCATATATTATTTTTAGTTTGCGTGGAATAAAATAAAAATCTTTTATGTTCATCATTGTATAAAATAAGAACACGTTCTGAGTTAAAGGTACAGTAATCGTAACTTTTACGATTATTCCAATTTAATTTAATTTTTTGGTCACATTTCATATCGTATATTTCTAATGAAGGTATGATTAAATACAATCAGTATTAGTTGCCGTAGTTATCTTATAATATTTTTAAGAATTTTAACTTACTTAAAGTTCCATTTTTACTGATATACACAAGTTCTCCATTATTAGAAACACACATATAATGTAAGTCAAAATTCGCTTCTTCACTTAATTTAACCGTATTTTCTATAAATGGGTCTTTAAATAGAATATTCCAACAAACAATCGAAAGATCTTCATGACTATAGATAACGAGATAAACTTCATTTCGCGAAACTTCTATTTTTATAATGGGTTCAATTTTATCGTCAATTTTTTCATCGATTTCTAAGGTAATTTCATTCATTTGACTCATGGAATAATAAGGAATTTTAATTTTGTAAAAAAAGAAACGTTCTTAAAGCAACCACCTGTTACAGTTTATTTAATATAAGCTAAAGTAATACAAAGATTTATTGTTGGGAAAGCAAACTGGGAAATTGTGCATGATAATCATTCTGACGTAATAAATTTGGCATATCACGCTAATAATTATTATGTCGTACTAAAAAAAGCGAACCAATTACATTTAAATCTTCCTTTTGTAGAAACTAATTAATTTGGGGCACATTAGATACTATTATGTTAAACAATTATCAAAGTGTCCCGCATAACGGCTAATCTTATTGTGTGATTATGAACATTAAGTTGTGACTCATTTTGACCAAGCTCGGTTATAATATTTTTTGGAAAATTATATCTACATTGTTTATTAGCAAATAAGGAAAGGACTAGACCGTTCTATTGTGTATAACGTGACTTTTTATGTGATACCCTACATATTAATTATGTATTTTCTGCCAATAGCATTATCACCGTTAAAACGGTGGTAATTAAATTTTAGAATAAATTGCCAGTCTGACTGTACGATCAGCTAAACTGTACTGTACGAATAATCATTGTACGATTTTTTTTTCGTATAGTACAGTTCTTTTTTCACGTGATTTTGTCACGCGTATATTTAATCTTGATTATCGCAGATAATCTTTTTTTCATCCACTTTTCGACTTTTCGTGTATTATTTTTTTTTTCTTTTGTTCTCTTATTTTTTGAAATCATCTTTTTTTTAAGACTCGGAATGACTTTCTTAGAAAAGTCTAGCGCACAGTTCAAGGTAATTTTTATTTTTTTTTTTATTATTTTACTGTTTTATTTATTTATTTATTTATTGCTTTTTACTTTTGCTAACTGTTTTTTTAGACAATTTCAACATAGTTGCTTCTTGCTGAAATATTTTAGCTACTAAGGAACTGAAGTATGTTATTTTTCCTATTATTTTATTGTTTTCTGTTACTTCTTTGATTTTTAAACTTATTAATCATTTCTTCTTTTTCATGGGCGGTGGTTTTCTTTTTTTATTTCTAATTTTTTTTTTGTTACTGTCACTTCCTAACATCTTTCTTAGACACCTTTTTTTTTATTTTTTTTCGCTCTTGATGCTTTCTTTCTTTTGTTTTCTGTCCTTGACGCTTCCTTTAATTTTTTTTCATTCCTGATACTTCTCTTTTATTGTTTTCCATATCTGATACTTCTACGTCTATTTGTTTTTCGTTTCTGACGTTTCCCATTTATCATTTTTTATTCCTAATATTTCCCTTTTGTTGTTTCTCATCCTTAACACCTTTCTTTCATTTTTTTCATTCCTGGTACTTCACTTTCATATTTTTAATTCCTAACAATTGTTTCTACTCATGATATTTTCCTTTCGTTGCTTTTCTGTTCCTTTTCATCTTTATCCTATCTCTATTTTTTACTCTTTTTAATTTAAGAGGCAGTTTTGAAAATAAAAAAATATTAAATTAATCGTATTTTATAAAAATATTAAATAAATACCCTTTAAAACTCATTAGAAATAAAAAAACTCCGTCAAATTGTAAAAAGAATTTTATGTAAATCAGTAATATTAAAATAAATAAAATAATTTAAAATAATTTTTTATTAATCATTATTACGATTGAAATTTTATTAAGAAAAGTGCAGTTACAAGTGAAAAACGTATAGGTTAAAAAGTTATTATTTGAACTAAGTTAATCAGTATGTCAAAAATTATTTACATGCCTATTATAAATATAATTACAAGTATAGTAATAAACTGTACTGTACGAATTTTTTTAATTTATCATACAGTACAATATAGCGCTTTATATAGTACTGTATTGTACTGTACGATAAATTTCGAAAAAAAAATTCGTACAGTACAGTTTAGCCAATCGTACAGTACAGTTTATCTCTATACCTAAGTAAATCTGTTGTTCTTTTATTAATAAACTAGCTGGATGCCCGCGTTTCACGCGGGCCTGGCTAATTAAAATTATGAAAATTAGTTGTTATAATAGTTATAATAGTTATAGTAGTTATTTTAAATAGGATGAAATATTTCATTATAGACAATGTTTTTGTTTGGCAGGTTTCACCATTACCTGCAAGAACTTTGACATGTTAATATGAAGTAAAAAATGTGATATTTATTTTTTAAAGAAAAAGAAACATCCCATGTACCACTAAAATTTACTTTTTTTAAAAAATACGTTTTTTATTTTATTTAAAGAATTTTTTTTTAAAATACAAATTATTATGATCTTGTTGGCGTACAAAGCTACATAATGTTAAGTCACTTTAACATGTCTAACTTTCTTTTTGATCTACCTATTTCCTTTAGTAATTATACTCTTTAACAGGAAAATAATTATTTAATGAATAAATTGGTGACAAACAACCTGTTGATTAACAATTTTGCATTTTTAATTATTTTATTTTACGTTAAATATATTATTATTCTGCTATTACTTTTTTTTTTTTGTAACATAGAAAAGTTGAAAAAAATATTGTAGAATACTCAATTAATTAAATCTCATTTCAAATTTATTTACAGAAAAAAAAACAATTTTTTTTTGTATTACAGCAGGATAAAATATGTGAAAATATTTATAATTTAATAAATTATTAAACTTTTGCATGGCCTACGCGTTTTTTTGATGGAGGTGTAGTTGCAGGTGTAGTTGCAGGTGTAATAAGTATAGATGCAGATTCTTCCTGTTCTTCCCGCTCTTGAATTTCTTCTGTCACTATGAGTGTGGATATCTGAGAATTTTGTTAATTTAGTTAATTCAGTTGGCTGAAAATTTTTGTAGTAATTTCATGTTTTCCTAGTACAGGTGCGGATTGTTCAATTTTTTTATGGATTGCAGATCTCGTGGCTATCATATGTGGTGATGATGATGATGATGTAGAAGACCAGGGCATTTTCCTGGTAGATTGATATAAAATTTGATTGTTGAATACGAATAAAATTAAGATTATATAGTTCTGGATAAAACTTTCCTCAGTTGATGTTAAAGCACCTGTTTTAACATTGTAGTCTGACTTTTTAAGCAGCTTTCTTTTGGATGGAATAATGTGATTGGAATCTCAGTTGGTTTATCTTTACCAATATAGTACATTCAAATTGTATACCAAGATTCGTAGTAAGTACTAAATCTGATACCGAAGCTGTGCCTACAACATTTATAGGTAAAATAGTAGCAGTGGTTAAGATTAACTTGATACACATGCAGATAATATATGTATAATATAGTGTGAAATTTAATTTTAAAACAGAATAATAAATATATTTAAAAAAAATTAAAATAAAGTAATTTCTTACATCAATTTGATTATCGACAGGTCCAATTGCAAATTTTGAATTTGCAATAGATAAGACTTGTCCCTCTTCCAATTTTGGTACATAGCATGGTTTGTTTTTCTTTGTTAAGAGGATAAAACACTGTAATATTAAATTCTTGGGCAACTGAGTTACCCTCAAGTCTTGTGTGTCCAGTGACCATTCCTATGAAAATTTTACCTGATGTTTTCTCCCTATATTCTGAAATATAAGGATTGTTGATAGTTGGGCAGGCATTAAAAATTAAAGCATAAAATTTTTTAAAAAAAAGGTGTAATTTTTTATAAAGAAAAATTTTTAAAAAAAAGAAAAGGATTTTTTTTTCGTGTGGGAAATCCAAAAAAAAACTGAAAATTAGAAAATTCGTCGTATGAGAAAATTCAAAAAACTGAAAAATAATTTTTTTAAAAAAAACAATGACGATTTCTAAAAAAGTCAATGATGATTTCTCATGTGAAGAATTTCATTGTCACGATCAAATTGCTTAATAAATTTTTTATTTTATATTACAATTACTGATTAGATTAGTTTCATTTCGTTGCTGTAAATTTGTTCTACGCCAACAGCCTAATTAAAAATTGTATTGGGATTAGGGTCTGCCCAATTAAGCTAATCAATAGCAAATGATGCGCCACTCCGAATCTTATAAAAATCTGTAGCACAGGGCGCAGACACATGATGCTGGACGATCCAATTTAAATCCACCTTTTTATGCAGGGTAGTCTTAACGTCACGGTCGCACAATGCTTTTTTTTATAGATATAGAAGATTATCTGTTACCAGAATAAAACTCAGAAATTATTTCTTTTTTACTTTCAATGTATTTTCTTGTATTCTAAAATGATAAAAATACAAATATATAACGTTAATGATCAAGTCATCATGCGTCTATTATAAAAATATAACTTGTGAGTTATGATATAATAATAATAATAATAATAATAATACAAAATGCAATATGCCAATATGCGATGCAAAGTACGTCTAGTAACATTTTGATTGTTATATTTATTGTGATTTTCAAAAAAAAGGGAATTCTTGCACATCGAAGATTATAAATTATCAGATATTTGTATAGAGTAAAATAATGTCTATTTGACCGGAATTAAAAAAACTAGACATAAAATTTTACTTTAAATAATAAATATGTAAAATATACAAATAAACATGGTTAGATAATAAACGCACTAAAACTTTGAGAATTTAATTTTAAAAGAATGTTTTAAAGCAAATCAAAATTTTCTTACCCTTTTCTTACATCTTTTTGATTTTTAAAAACTTGTTATTAAAATAAAACAGGTTAACGGTAAACGTAAATCAAGAGAGGGAAATTTTAATATAAAGTTTGAAATCCTGTCAACCAATAATGTTGACAGTTTACATTCTACAATCTTGAAACCAAAATCCCGATAAACCCAAATTCCGGTTGAAACAAAATCCTGATAGTCACAAATCCTGACAGTTAAAATTCTTGACGGTCAAAATCCCAAAGTTTTCTTTTTTTTAAAAAAAAAACAATTACATAAAGCGCAGTATTGGTCTTAACTTATCTGATACACAGTGTATAATTAAAATATGATTTGAATTATTTGATTAGTATTAACGCAAAATATTTGTAAATTTTATCAATACAAATGCAAACTTTTTGCAAATTTTATTAATATTAATGCAAATCAACGAACATTACTATATTATTAATGAAATTAAAAGGAAAATTTTATTATTTTAACTAAAAGGACTGTGTACAGTAATATTACTAGATTACTAATCTTCTGAAATTAGAAACAATTGCATTAAAAATTAACTAATCTTAAACTCATCCCAGTCAGGATTTTGGCTGTCAAGATCGGGATTCTTTTTTTTTTTTTTTTTTTTTTNNNNGTTATTGAACGGGGCGTCAAAATATCGGCCGAAGGCCGATATAGCCCCGTTCAATAACAATATTATTATACGTGATATTAGGATTAGTGCGTGTGCTAATATAATTATATTGTCGATCATCATTAAAAATATTTCGATTAATTCGATTAGGTAGGATCGATCCTAATTTGCTAAATTATTATGAGTTGAAAAATTAATAACGAATGTAATTATTTTTATAGCTGTTACACAAAAATATAATTTTTAATTTTATCACGATCGTCGATTATAAAAAGCCGCGTTATTTTTTTTTTTCGTAAAGGAATTAATCATAATGGGTTCCGACAATCATGTAACTGACAGGTACATTATACAGACAAATATATTTATTTCATGGTAATTATTTTTTTTCTCAATTTTCAATACCTTCAATCTTTTTTTTTTCTTTTTACGAATTTAATCAATTTTAATATTCTATTATTATCATTATTATTATTTAGGAATTAAATATAGTGTTTCATTTTTTCATTTAACATTATTCAGTTATTTTAAATTTTAATAAATAGTTTTTAAAAAATAAATTTAAATAATTTCGCTCATAATATAATATAAGTAAATTGTAAACTTTTATGTCGATTTCTGAAACTATAAAAATGACATATTGTTGTATATTAAAAATACTGGGTTAAGAACTTTTTTTTAAATTTAAAATCATGATTTGTTTAAATTTTACAAGATTAAATTAATATATTATATTAAAAATAACATTAAATTTATCGAAAAATAAGTTCTCGTATCATGAATTATAACCAGAGATAGTAATTTATTTTCGTTGATACAAAATATTTAAGCATTTAGGAACGCTCGGCGATTGGATAACCAGCGATAGGGTAACCAGCAATAGGGTAAACTTCTTCTCCAGGAGTTCCTCCAACTGTAGTAGATGCACAGGCATATAATGGGGCTTTTGGATTATCAATTATATCAAAAATGTCAACTTCAATAACGTACGTTTTAGGAAGTTTAGGTGTTGGAACATTTTTTGCAGTAATTGTAAATGGTTCTCCTGCGTTATATGACTCAGTAAAATTTTGATAATAGGGGTCACTTAAGAGTTTACCGGCCGTATCACCATATCCAATTGCAAATATGGTTTTTCCTGCGATTATATTATTAAATTTTAATGTACCGGAACCAGTGTAAGTCACAGGTTTTTCAGAAACAGGAGGATCAGGGACGATATTTACAGTGAGTGATTCAGCACCACATGGTCCAAATTTAGTTTCTCTTTTACGAAGTTGGTGTGGAACGGCATTGATCATGGAAAATGTAGCTACTAATAAAATGAAAACAAAAATATAATTCCGGTTCATCTTGAAAATATTTAGTTGAAATTGTGAATATTATTAAATATTTCATTATAATGTAACTTGGTCTTTTTATAAGGAAAAAAAACCAGTCTCCTGAATTCATGGAATATCGTATTTCCGCCTTTTTGAAAAAATCATTTTTTTAAAAATGGACGCAAATCAACACGTGTAAATTTTCAATTCCCATAATTAAAATTGATTTAGGATCGACTGTTATATTTTAAAATTCGATTTTTGGACTAGTCGCTGTGACACTATTAAAATTATGGAAGAGCAATTTTGGTAATCACAAATTTAACATAGACATCTTATTAAATTAATTTTTACGTTTTGCATTAAAAATAAAGTATGAATAATCATTGATCGACGGTAGCTCTAACTTTATTCAAAAGATCCGCTGTGTAACAGTACTTTTTTTGTCATGTGATTAGATTTCGTAATTCGGGCCGGCACTATAGTATCGATTTTTTTTATTCGATAAGTAAAATCGATTCTGATTGAGTATTAAACTTTGATCGATTCCAATCCTTATTTTCGGCAAATTTGTTAAAGTTACTGAGTTGCAAAATTAATTTTAACACTCCAATTATGTCTATAAAAATATTTGTCATATTTATAGCGTTAAATAAATTCCTTTTTCACTTAGAATTTAAGTGTGTCAACCGAAAAATATTTTTATTGTCATAAATAAAAATCATTCTATCAATGCAATCATACTTTTTTCCTACATTTGAGCTAGTAATGCGATAATTATACATAGTAATCCAAATTAATAAATTATCAGACTATTTTAATTGATGAATGAAGTCTAAATTTTCAATAAAAAAACTCTTGTTTATATTTATTCATAATATGTATAATATTCATATTACTATGATCAATTAGCATAGGTGAAATTTATTGACCAATTTATAACAAAAAAACAAGTTCACAAGTTAAATCTTTTTTAATATAGAAAAATTATTATTTCACTTCTAATGCAAGAAATTTTTAAAACAAATAATGGAGAATATGATACAAATATGCATTATTGCTTTTAGCTTTCAATTGAGTTATCATTATCATAAAAAAAATAAAAAATAAAAAATCCGCTTAATTACTTTAATATGAATAATATCAAACCATAAAAAGAGTAAATAATTCTATTGATCTCGTTATTGATTGTGATACTTGAGCACAATGATATCAAATTGAAGGAGCTGCTTGAGAACGGCTGCTGATCAATCTTGCTCGATTAAGAGCCCTAAACAAAACACAAATCATTAATAATCTCGAACAATTTCGAACGCGTTAGATTTTAATAAGAATTTTAAGAATTTTGAAAAATTTTATGTCAAATAAAGAATCAACCTTATAGTGCCATTTAATTATAAATTGTTCATAAAAAATATTTGCAAAACATAATAAAAATTAGAAAAAAAAGCACAACAAAATAAATAAACACATAATTATACTATCACCACTGTTTTATTTCATGCTCATATTTTAATATATCTAAATTTAAGTAACGTGATCATGCAAATTTTCTAGCGTTGGCTGAGTTCTGAATCTTGATACAGATCTACATTCAACACTATCATAAATCTTTTTTTTTTTACAAAATTTAATCAATTTTGTTACTCTTTTATTTTTTTATAGGTATTAGATTTTTCATTTAAGCATTATTTCAAAATTTCAATAAATAATTAGTTTTCAATATATATATATATATAATATATATTTGAGAAAGTAATACAGAAAAATAAAAATTGACAATTTATTATTTTATGAGAACTGCAAAGAAGACTAGTGTGTCCCTGTATAATAAAAAAAAACTGGTTTAAAATTTATTTTTTAAAATCATGATTAAATTTTAAATTAATATACTATATTAAATTAAAATCGAAAATAAAATAAAATAAATTCTCATATTATGGAAGATTAATACATTCTATAAAACCAGCGATAGTGATTTTTTTTTTTTCTTTCATTGATAAAGACATTTAGGAGGATAAACTGCAGCTATTGCACAACCATAGATTTCGTATGGTTGTCCTGGAACCCAAATTGGAACTACAACTCCAATTTCAATACTGAATGCTTCAGGAAGTCTAGGTGTCGGAGCATCTTTTACAGTGATAGTAAATGGTTCTCCTGCTTTATACGACTCTGTAAAGCTCTGAAAATAGAGTTCCCCTATGGTTCTTTCGAGATCACCATATCCAATTCCAACCACGGTTCTTCCCGCAGTTATATCATCACTTAATGTACCGGAAACAGTATAAGTGGCAGGTTGTTCAGAAATAGGAGGGTCAGGTGCGACTGTTACATCAATAACTCCTTTTATTCCTGGACATGGATTGAATTCAGTTTTTCTTTTACGAAATTGGTATTGAACGGCATTGGTCATGGAAAACGTAGCTAATAAAATGAAGACAAAAATAAAATTTCGGTTCATCTTGAAAATATTTTAAATATTTCGTTATAATGTTTGAAAAAAAAAAATTTTTTTTTTTTTGTTAATATTTAATATTGTACTTAAAGTCTATTCAGCCCTAACTCGTAACACAACTAAATGAGAACATTTTCGTCCCAGCCCAACTTAAAAAGGAAAAGATTGGGTCCACATCTGCATCGAAGGTTCTAAAGCAGAAAGCAAAAATTCCCAAGGTTCATTTTACAATGCGAATCAACACGTGGATTAATTCCAAATTAGGTCCGCAAATCCACGCTGATTTTCAACAGGTTAATCGGCACTGAACAAGCAGATCAGCAAAAAAATTTCCTTAATATTTGGAAAAAAAAAATACATTAAAGTGAAGCAATTAAAATAAATTTTACATCTTTTGAAATTGAAAACCTGTCAGCTATATTCATTTTGGTGTTTTTTCGTTTGAACGGATGAATGGTATATTAGGTAAAGGTAATTTATTTTTTAGTGTCGATTTTTTCATTTTCTTATTATAAATTCCTTATATTTTATTAGGGTCTTTGCCTAATAGCCACTGCAAAATTTAACCCGAAACACATATAAACGAAGTATTTTGAAGGGCGTCGGTGTAGTTTGTTAATTAGTGATTAAGAAAATTTAAAAATTTTCGGTGATATTAGGACAATATTTTGAATAAAATACATAAAATATTTTAAATTTTAATATAGGTAAAACTTGAGATAGAAGTAATAAATAAATTAATAGATTATTTAACTGATCCTAATAACCCTAAATAGACGCAATTAATGCTTTGAATTTACAATATTTTATAAAATGACATTTGACTTTAATTATTAGTATCAAAACTGCGAATAAGATGATGCTAATTTGGAAAATTCGTCCTTAATTTTGTTTGTAATTCATCCTTTAATTTGTCTGATTCAATTCATAATTCATCCATTAATCATCTGTAATTCATAATTCATTCAAAAATTTCCTAGAATTTGTCTGGAATTTTGTACCCAGAATTTATCCTATTCTATTATGCAAAAAAAAAATTATTTCCGTTGTTGAGTCCGAATCCATAATTATAAAAAAGTGAAAGTCAAAATGTTAGTAAGACATTTCGTTAAATAAAAACAATCAAAGAAAACTCTGATATCCACTAAAATTCACAGTCCAAAGTGCGGTCGCTTAAAAAAAAAGTGAAAAATTAAAACGTTAGTAGAATGTTCATTAAAGAAAATATAATCAAAGTAAATTCAGATACCCACTGAAAAATCTAAACGTCCAAGATCCGGTTACCTAAAAAAAGAGAAATTGAAGAAATTCCACGCGTCCAGATCTGAAGAATAAACTAGCATTCAAAAAAGATAAAAATGAAACGTTAATATTCGTTTCATTAAAGAAATACCTATTCAAAGAAAACTCCATACTGAATTACCCAAAAGAAATAAATTAAAAATTAACTTGCAATTCCCACCAAAATTCCACGTGCCCAGAGACTCAACCATCTAAAAAGAAAATTGAAATCTGAAACATTAGAAAACGTTATATTAAAATAAACAATTAAGAAAAAAATTTTCCTACCATATTCCCATTTCCCATAATCCGTCTAAAAAAAGTAAAACCAAACTATTAGAACTATTAGAAATTGTTTAAAGAAAAAAAATGACTAACTTACTGAAATGTCGCGTCCAGGAAGGCTCAAGTCTAACAGTGTCTCTATAAAAAGAGAAAAAGAAATATTTCTCTTTTTACCTTGAGCCTGAGGAAAGTCGGAACTCGGTGTTTCTACAGAGATACAAAAGAAAAATTCCCCCTCCGGCTATTTTTACAACAAAAAAATAATCAAAATATATAGGGGTACGCATTACTGGCGTTGCATAAAATTAATTTATTAGTCATATGATGTAATCATGTAATGAAAGGAACCAATTATGAGCAGACAGGCGACACTTTTTGTGTGACCATCGACAAAACATATATAGTCCTTCGCAGCGCTTCGGACTAATAATAACTTTTTTTTACTTATTTTTTCGGGAATAAATGTTTTCAGGAAAATAAATATTAATGTATATTATAAACAACGAGATAAATTTAATAAAAATCAGTTAATTCAAAATTTATCTAGAAATGATTTCTTTATCATGTATTTATTATAAAAGCAAATAAAATAACCAAATAGAATAAATAATTTTTCGGCGAAATGTCGGCGAAATGGAATTCGGCGAAACGTCCTTTCTGGGAAATGGTTTCGGCGAAACGTCCTTTCGGCGAAATGGTTTCGGTGAAATGGACTTCGGGATACCGTTATTCACTGTATATCAATGTTAGTTTTGAATTCGGGTTTTCTAATTTAATTTGTTGATCGTCAGATCCCCTGTATTATAAAAGGCTCATATTTCCGGAATTAATAACGGAATTTATCGAATTATTTTCATTTTCCGTAAATGGATCCGTGAAAGGCTCATTTTATGGAGTTTTTATAGAAATAACGGATAAAATTTTTTATAGAGATCATCACCTGATTTTTGAAAGCGATAATAAAATGTAGTAGTAACTTCATGAGTTTTATTTATTTTATTCCTTCTCATAATTAAGAAGTCAAGCTCTAAGTTTATTTAAAATATCAATCTCAAAAATTCGAAATTTATTCTTATTTCAAAAGATAAATTGTAAAAAATTATAATTATTTAAATGAGATTTACATTCCTTATATCTCGTTTTGACCAATTTATTATAGTACCGATTTTACTGGGACAAAATCATAAAAATCGAAATTTAAATGACCATGCAAATTTTAATTTTTTTTTCTAATGGTGGCTTTTTTCGAATTCAAAAAATTTTCAATACTTTAAATCTTTTTTTTTCTTTTTTTTTTTATAAATATTTTAAATTTTAATAAATAGTTTTCAATTATAAAAATAAATTTAAATAATTCTGCGCATAAGATAATAAAAGTGAATGAATTGTAAACTTTTATGTCGATTTATGAAACTGCATAAATGACGTGGAAAGATAGTATATTACTATATATTAAAAAGAAAACTGGTTAAAATTTATTTTTTAAAATCATGATTAACAAATTAGTCAAAAATAGATCAAAATTAATATTAAATATTATCGAAAAATAGAATAAATATAATATATTAAAATTAATATTAAATATTATCGAAAAATAAAATAAATAAGTTCTTGTATCATGGAAGATTAATTTTGTTTCGTTGATATAAAATGTTAAAGCATTTAGGAACACTCAGCGATATGGCATGTACGCTCAGCGATTGGATAAGCTTACTCTCCAGATTTCCCTCCAGATTCTGCAAATGCACAGGCAATTGTTCCAAGTTCTTCATCCCAAATAACAACGTAAGTATCGTATACTTTAGAAAGTTTAGGTGTTGGAACATCTTTTGCTGTAATAGTAAATTTTTCTCCTGCTTTATATGACTTATCAAAAGGCAGCAAATAAATGTCACTTAAGGGAACACTGCCGTCCGCATCGAGATAACTAACTCCAAGTGAAGTTTTTTTTGCGATTATAGCATGACTTAATTTACCGGAAACAGTATAAGTCGCGGGTTTTTTAGAAACAATAGGGTCAGGTGTGACTGTTACATCGATTTGTTCAATTGCTGGCATACTACAGAGAACAAATTTAGTTTCTCTTTTACGAAGTTGGTGTGGAACGGCATTGATCATGGAAAATGTAGCTACTAATAAAATGAAAACAAAAATATAATTTCGGATCATCTTGAAAATATTTAGTTGGAATTGTGAATATTATTAAATATTTCATTATAGTGTAACTTGGTCTTTTTATAAAGAAAAAAACAGTCTCCTGAATTCATGGAATATCGTATTTCCGCTTTTTTGAAAAAAATTTCATTTTTTAGAACGGACATTTTATAACGCAAATCAACACGTGTAAATTTTCGGGTTGAAATCAGAATTGATTTAGGATCGTCTGTTATATTTTAAAATTCGGAAGAGCAATTTGGTGATCATAAATTTAGCATAGACAACTTATTTATTTAATTTTTACGTTTTTGCATGCATGAATAATCTAATTCGTGCCAGCAGAATTAAAACTTTTGTGTATCAAAAGATTCGTTGTGTAACAATACTTTTATCATAAGTCATGCGATTAGATTTTCGCCATTCGGGCCGGCACTATAGTATCGATTTTTTTATTCGATAATCAAGTAAAATCGATTCTGATTTGATTTTTGAATTTTGATTAATTCGAATTTTGTAGAATCGATTCCAATTCTCATTTCGGGATAAATTCCAAATTTGTTAAAGTTACTGAGTTGCAAATTAATTTTAACACTCCGATTATGTCTATAAAAATATTTATCATACTTATGGCGTCAAATGAATTCCTTTTTCACTTAGAATTTAAGTGTGTCAACCGAAAAATCATAAATAAAAATCATTCTATCGACGCATACTTTTTCCTACATTTAAGCTAATGCAATAATTATGCAAATTAATAAAATTATTTCAAATTATCAGACTAATTTTTAATTTAACAAGTATTTTAATCGATGTAATGAAGTTTCGTATTAAATTTTCCAAAGTAAGATATGGTAAAGTGTATTAACGACTGTAGATACTAGACCTTAATCCTATCTTTTATAGCTGTTATACAAAAATATAAATTTTGTAATAAAAAAAGGGTCGACTAATAATAATAAGCCACGTTAGTTTTTTTTCGTAAAGAATTTGTAATACTTATTTGAAGTAGATAGAAAGCTGAAATGTTTTATTTGAGATTGTTTGTACTAGTAATCAATTATTTATATATATTCAAATGTTCAAAATTAAATAAATTAAATATGAAATAAAATATATAATATAAAAATATATGTAAGTATAAAATATTTTATCACCTTGTATTTTAATAGACCTCTTTTATAATAAAACCCGACGCTATATCCTCATGAATAACTATCACGCAAATCACTCAAGATGATCGTCTAAAATTATTAAATATTAATAAAAATTATAATTTTTGTCTAAAAAAAAATTAAAGAAAAAGATTAAGTGTCAGGATAATGAGTGTCAGGATTTTGAACTTTCGGGATTATGATTTATCAGGATTGTTATAACGACATTCCAATCGTCGGGATTTTGAACGGCTCTCATTATTATTAACAACCAATACTCCTATTTTCATTGAATTTTTATAGATTTAGTTATTTTATTATTATATTATCTTTATGATATTGTATTATTTTATGCATATTGATTTTTAATTGTATTATTTTAGTTAGAATTTATAGATATATTTTACAATTATTATTGGCGCAGGGCAACATGTCACCTAAGACTACTGGCAAGTTGTAAATTGTCCGGTATAACGCTTAATCAAATTATCTGTTGGAATTTGCGTTATAGACATCACTCAAGATTAAGGAGGTAGAAAGATTGTCAGATTTTTAGGTTTTAAATCCCAATATCATCAAACTCAATAATTTCTCAAAAGAAAAAACTTTTTTAAGAGTGAGGCAACAGTAAAAATTTGTATTGATTATCAACACATCTTAATAAAATTTCTCATACAATTTATTTTCGAAACCCTCATTTTAAAACGTATAAACTATTACCTTTTAATCGTAAACTATTCCTTTATTTTCTGTTATTATCTTGTATTTAACGCGAATTCATGAATAAAAAAAATAAATGTAAAATTTTGAGAAATGATGACGAGAAAAAAAATATACATTGAATGCTAATGATTGGAGTGGTTTTGGTACGAAATCTCGAAAATCATTTGAATGACTGACACAGGACCGACAACAAAATCTCGACAATCCAAAATCTTGACAAATCAAAATCCTGACAAATCATTATACCGACAAGTTGATTATCCTGACAATTTTAGAACAAAATTATAAAATTTACCACATTTAAACTAAATATTACATATTGCAACAAATTATTTTATTAGAACACACATCATTAGATTTACAAAATTGTCGATATAATGACTTGTCGAGATTCTGTCGTCGATCTTGTGTTTATTACTTAATGAATACTACTATACTAGTTAGTCTATTCAGCCCTAACTCGTGAAACAACTAAATGAGAACTATTTATACATTTGTCACCCAACCCTAACTTAAAAAGGAAAAGATCGGGTCCACATCTTCGTGTCTATGCATTGACCTTTCATTACCTTCCAAAAGGGTCTAAAGCAAAAATTCCCAAGGCCGGCCAAGAACATTGGCATAAAAAGCCAAGGGATAAGGATTATCTTCATTTTACAATGCGAATCAAAATATGTAAATTTTTTGGGTTAATTCCAAATTTGTTAATTTTTTAATACTTTATGATATATCAAACCCCTTCCTTTTGCAACATTTCTTATCGAATATTTGGGAAATAAAAAATACATTGAAGTTTAGCAATTAAAATAAATTTTAGTAATTAAGAAAAATGAAACATTTTCCAAACTTTTGGGTGATATTAGGATAATATTTTAAATTTTAATGCAATAAAGCTTGAGATAGAAGTATTAAATAGATTAATAGTAGATTATTTATTTTGAACTGAATGCTTTAAATTTACAATATTTTATAAAATGAAATTTGACTATGATTTTTGGTAATTGGATAGAGTATTATAATATCACAAAACTGTAATATTTTTAATTTTAATAAATAGTTTTTCAATTATAAAAATAATTCTGCGCATAAGGTAATAAAAGTAAATGAATTGTAAACTTTTATGTCGATTTATGAAACTGCGTAAATGACGTGGAAGGATATAGTGCTATATTACTATATATTAAAAAAAACTGGTTTAAAATTTATTTTTAAAATCATGATAATAAATTAGTCAAATACCATTCTTTTCAAAAGTAGATTTGAAAATAAATACATTATATTAAAATTAATATTAAATATTATCGAAAAATAAAATATATAAGTCCGCTAGCGACGGTAATTTTTTTCGTTGATATAAAATATTAAAGCATTTAGGAACGCTCGGCGATAGGGTATACACACTCAGCGATTGACTTTAGTAAATACACAGGCAATTGTTCCAATTTCTTCATCCCAAATATTAACGTAAATTTGGTATACTTTAGAAAGTAAAGGTGTTGGAACATCTTCTGCTGAAATAGTAAATTTTTTTCCTGCTTTATATGACTTATCAAAATACTGCTTATAAGGGTCACCTAAGCGAACAATGCCATCCGCAATAAAATATGTAACCCCAAATGTAGTTTTATCTGCGATTATAGCATGACTTAATTTACCGGAAACAGTATAATTCGCAGGGTATTCAGAAACAATAGGGTCAGGTTTGACGGTTACATCGATAATATCAGTTTTTGACATGCATGAATGAAATTCAATTTTTCCTTTACGAAGTTGGTGTGGAATGGCATTGACCATGGAAAATGTAGCTAATAAAATGAAGACAAAAATAAAATTTCGGTTCATCTTGAAAATATTTAGTTGGAATTGTGAATATTATTAAATATTTCGTTATAATGTAATTATCAATAACTTGATCTCAGAGTTACTGTCTTTTTATAAACTTAGAAAATACAGTCCCCTGAATTCCATAAATACCGCCTTTTAAATGGATGAATAATTATAGCGTTAGAATGAGAATTTGAATAATCAACTTTGCAAATCAACACAGTATCAACACGTGAAAATTTTCCGCCAAATTTGAGTTGCAAAAAATTAATTTTCAATACTTTGATTTGCAGAACGGCCATTCACCGAAATACCAAAAAAATTACCGACTAGTTATAGACTTATAGTAACTGAATTGATATTAATACTGACCCTCGTTTATGTTTCGTACTGCATATTGGCCCTTAAATAAATTCAGTTAGCTGCGCTATTGCGTCTTAATTTCAAATTATTTTAAGTAAAATTTACTGCTTTTAAAAAAAATTTATAGGCATATTTAAGCTTTTTTACTTTCATATTACAATAATTATTCAGTAAACAATATCCAATTTTTTTAATAGTTTCAATATTGTAAAAAAAATAAAATAAAAATTGGTACTGGTTTCACATGATAAATGATTATTACTTACTCGGTGAAAACCTTTTTTCGTTTTTAGTGATTAGTAAAAAATAAAAGATAATTTCAAAAAACCTTTAATGAAAGGTAAAAGTGTCGGCAAATAAACTATCGGCAAAATTGTGATTCGTTGAAATAATTTCGGGAGGATGTGATGCTGGTGAAATAGCAAGTCGGCAAAGTGAAGTCAGCAAATCTTAAGTAGGTAGATTGACAATCGAGTTTGTGAATTGATCAAAATAATTTATAGATCTTTTCTCTTTTTGAAATCATCTACTGATAGTAGATCACTTATTACCTCTCTATCAGCTATGTATTTGTTACTATCTGTCTACATCGAAGTCACGTGCTAGTAACAGAAATATGTGTTATGTTTCGTAAAATAAAGTGAAACAAAGTATATATGTAAATTTAAAACTTATATATATAATTTTAGTGTATATTTATTCAAAATAAACAATATCTTAAAATAAATGGAACAATACAAATAAATAAATGCTAATACATAATAAATTTCATAAATCCTAACGAAATAAAATATTGCTGCCTCTACCGGCGATCTGCAATATTACCGATAAACTAAAGTTTAATTTAGTTACTAAACTAAACTATGACTAAAATAAACCTCTCTCTAAGTCCTTTTTTCCTCACCGTTCGCCCGTTCTATATATGTAGTTCGTAATTTCGGTATAAATTATACCATGTATAAGTTAAACTTCGTATAAATTACACTGAGTGTAAATTAAACTAAGTATAAGTCACGAAAAGTATAAGCTACACCGTTACACTGCTGATCACTGAAATCTTATGCCAATTTCTTGAACTTTCGATGTGGCGCAAATTCGCGTAACATATTGCTAGTGAATACGGATTATATTTATCATACTTATGGTATCGAACGAATTGTTTTTGAAAACCTTCATCACTGAGAAGTTTTTTTTTTAATAAATGTGATAACCAAAAAAATAATTCTTTTATTGTCATGATTAATATCAATGTAATTATACTTTTTTCCTTTAATTGCAATTACATTATTTGAACTAATGGCATAATTATATATCAGATATAAAGTAATTAGTAATTCAAACTAAATAAGATTATTTGACAAATTTTAATTTTAACAAGTATTTTAATTGACATTTATTTGAATTTTTCAAAAAAAAAAAAAAAAATATGGTAAACTGTAATTATCTTTTATGTTACACAAAAATAAATTTTTTAATTCTAATAAAAAGAGGATCGACTTAACAAACGATCGTTAACTATAATAAGCCGCGTTAATTCTTTTTTTCCGTAAAGAATTTATAATACTGTATTTGAAATAGATAGAAAACTAGAAAACTGAAACCTATTATTTAATTAAAATTGTTAGTAATCATTATTTATATATGTTCAATATTTAAAAACAAATATGAAATAAAGTAAATAATTTAAAAATTAAAATGTATAAGAAACCATTAAAAATATATGTAAGTATAAAATATTTTATCACCTTGTTTTTTTTTATAAATATTAATTGGGAAAATTAGGTAAAAGATTTAAATTTATATTAACTGGTAAACTGACAACATTTTATTAAGGTCGGTCGATTTCTTTGTCAATGTACAGTACAAAAGGGATTACCCTCGCTCGGAGTTCTGTAATAATTACTAAAAGCAGGTGCAAAATATTGATATCTAGGTTCAATGTCATCATTTGAGATCATTTGCCACTATAACTCATTTAGATAAGTGTTATGGCAAGCGGTAGTGGTCAAAAGTGCGTAGCAAAACATAGCGTGTACACGCTACAAAACATAGCGTATACACGTTATCTTTTACGGCGGGTTACCCCTGTTCTGTTGGATTAACCTGTCAATTTCAGGGGTAACCCGCCATAAAAAACAGCGTGTATACGCTACATAATTTAACGTGTATACGCTTTATATTATAACGGTTTATTAATTTATTTTGGACCAAATTTTAAAATTTTCAAGGGATTGAATACCCGCCGCTTCACATATCA